AGATGTTCGGTTGCACCACAGAGACTCTAAACACAGAATCTGATTTCACACAGATGCGCAAGTCAGATTACGGTAGAAGCAAGAGAGACGGAGGTTACGCCGAACGGACAGTTAATCACAATAGTAAAAGACTGACAGAACAGACAGCAATTCGATACGCGGTTTGGGTGCGATTGGGTACAAAAACGATCAGCTGGTGGCGAGTGATTGGTAATACGATAGCCGGGAGACACGCACGGCGGTTGAGGGAGGAGGGACAGCTTAGCCTCATAAATTGCCATCGGTGGATCGTTTGTCATCGTTGTTCGATTGACCGCCTCGCGCTGATGAATCAGGCGGTGGGTGGCAGTGTGTACGGTCGGTGGACGGTCATTCGAAAGACCTTGTCAGGCCAGACCAGGCCGCGTTGCTCCGTCAGCTTAACGAATCACGCGCGGGGGGGGGAAGGCTGCGTTCGTTGTTTCGGCTCGGTCCATGGGAAAAATGGCAGCACCGTCTTCTCGGTGTCCCGATCGTTTGGACAGTCGACGAAGGTTGTTTGTCATCGTTGTCATTGTGAACAAGGCCGGAAGAAATCGACAACTGTGAATGTTCGCGAACCTGCGACAAAGCCTGCTAGACTCAACGAGATGTGTAACGCTTGTGTCGTGTGTCGATCACCGCCACCGACCCTCAAAGCCTTGGTCACGATTGTGAGCCTTGTATCGACGTAGCTGCGTAATTATGCTGTTTCGCCATAGGTCACAAGAAAGCTTTTGTCAGGTGACGTCCGCTCGTCGTCTCACGGGAAGTGATCAGGGCTCATCTCCTTATTGAATCTCTCTTCAGTGATAGATCTTAAGAGAGTCTGATTGAGGGACGAGCAATGAATCGCCTATGTAAGCTGAGGATCCGGGCCATTAAGCTTGGGTTAAAAGGCTTTTCGCCCGGATAGCTGTCGGTAGCGCACTGTACGGTCAGCGGGCAGGTAACCGAGCTCAAATTTCAGCCGTTCAACAGATGTTACACAATGCTGTACATCGGTTCCTGTCGTCATTCAAGATTTGGCTTGACCAAACGGCTATAATAGCGTGGGGTTCATAACAAGCCCTAAGGTTTATCGTAAGTGCCGTGGAGGATACAGTCGCATCGGTCTGCTCTACAGCGCTTTCTCCATTACCGGTTCTCCATGCCTTACGCAGAAAGAAAGAAAAACTGGAACTTTTGCAACTGTTCGAGCGTCGACCTTCCATACGCCTTCATGATGGGGTACTTTCTAGAAGTTAATGATGGGTGATGGTCCATGCCGCCTTATTCTAAATGCAAATTTTATGGCAAAACGATATGTGTTCATTTACCTCGGAAGCAAGAAAGGCGAGTGATACGACAGAGGCTCGAACCTGAACCTCGCAGTTCTAGGTTCAACTTTCGACCGACTTAGCAGTCCCGATCCACGGCCTGTGCAGCCAATGGCTGACTATGCCAACCTCACAAAAGAATGACGACTGTAAGAGTAAAATGTTTTCCCTAGGCGTCTAGAGGAAAGGAGGCGGGTGAACAGAGCTGCTAGTGTAA